AATCACAGCCCCCACCTTCACCATCCCCACCACCTCCGTACATTTACAAGTCTCCACCCCCACCATCGCCATCACCACCACCCCCTTACATCTACAAGTCTCCGCCACCTCCAACAAAATCTCCTCCACCTCCATATATATATAAATCCCCACCACCACCTTCACCATCCCCACCAACACCATATATCTACAAGTCTCCACCACCTCCACTAAAATCTCCTCCCCCTCCATATATTTATAAATCACCACCCCTACCATCACCATCTCCACCACCTCGGTACATTTACAAGTCTCCACCCCCACCATCACCATCACCACCGCCTCCATATATTTACAAATCTCCACCACCTCCATCAAAATCTCCTCCACCTCCTTATATGTATAAGTCACCATCTCCTCCTTCACCATCACCGCCACCTCCGTATATTTACAAATCCCCACCACCTCCAATGAAGTCGCCGCCATATTTACATTACTAAAGTTGTCATCGTGACCTCCACTCCATTGCTTCGTTCGGTGATTAATTAATAAACCACAGTTACGTCTTTCATTAAGTTTATACATTGTGTGGATATGAGTATTCAAATGTGTAATTGATTATCCCATGTATTATTTTGCAACACTTTTGTATTTCACTAATAGGGATACAAATATTATCCCTATTGATGCATAAGCATTTTATTGTACTATTTTCGTTTAAGTTTCTTAATTTGGACGAGCAATAATATTGTACTGTTCTCATGATTTTAGTGTCCTATGCGAGAATTTCAATTAAGGCAATTTGTTTGTTCCAACTTCATACTTGAAAACTACTACATCAATTTTCTTTATTTACTAGTGTTGCAACCCTGAACAATGCATGGGACATAGTATATAAAATATTTTATTATCAAATATTTAAGATAATATGTCAATTCTATTCGACACAACATATCAAGTCTGTAATAATATAATACTAGTATAATACTCGTGTACTACACGGTACTTCTTGATAAAATTATTTTTAAAATTAAATAATAAGTACAACAACAATTGTTTAAAATTAAAATATATATTTATTAGGCTAATTTGGGATTTTCATGGAAATTAATGAGCCGATTTAGAAATTCCAAAACAAATCAAGGTTACATTAGTCAATTAATACCATTACTAAAGGCTCCAATACAACTTAACGGTTATATTAGTCAAACTATTATGGTATTACCAAGTTATTTATTTCAATATTTTTGGAATATCCGAACCTAAAATTATTGATTTTGAATAATATTATTTTTTATCCAAACCAAACTACAAAGCATGTTTTTTCGCCAAGGAGGATTCGAAGCATGCGAGGCTGTCACTTAAGCTCAGCGCATTCTGCAATTATATATATGGGGATTTTTCCTTTCCATGTTGAACAAGTAATAAGGGTGAGCATGAGTCGGTACGATTTAGAGATTGACAAATCTCCAGAACTGTACCGAAATTCGGAGATCACTAAAATTCGATCTCCAAAACTGTACCAAAATATCGAGATGGTTCGGTTTGAAAACTTTTTTTTTCGACTCGGTATTCGGGACTATCCAAACGGTTCAGATCTCTGCAGATTTTTAATTATTTTTTAATTTTTGAATGACGACCTAGTTATATTTTATTTTTATATGGTTTTTTTAAATCCTGCTGTAAGAATCGGGGGGAAACGGGTGCGGTCCCACGCACTTGAATCGCACCATGACAGGGTGAGTCTAGATGCACTATAGTGAAATTTCATCCCAAAACCAATTGGTGGTAGAAGGAGAGACCCACGGGGCTTATAAGTTGGACTTATTTTCCCTGTATAAACAATGTGAGACAACTCACAAGTGATTATCATATTAAAGATTTTATTTTGAAGTCAAATTTTTAAGTAACTCAATTTTTTTGTTAAAACTAAATTTGTAGAATTAACGTTGAAAATTTAAATATAAATAAAATCTAATATAATTTATAAAATAGTATTTCTCTAACCTTTCATACCTTTTTTATTATATGATAGAATAAGATTAATAAAACTATCGACAACTTTAAGTAAAGTTTATTATTTTTTCAAAAAAAAAAAAAAAAAAAAATCTTTAACCTTCATACCATTTAAATAATTTTTTTTTAAAAATGGGAAAAACTCCATTGTAGATCAAGTATTAATTTTTTTTTTTTTAACGAAACGATAGAGATTTTATAAAAACAAAAGACACAAAAGTGCAAAGATACAACCCGTAGTTAAATAAACCGACCCCAAGCTGAGTAAAATGGGAGGACAGGTCGGCGACTGCCTAGAAACCCGACACTAGCAACGCTAGAAACCGAAAAAGACTCACTAAGAAACAATACCACAAAACACAAAACTAAAAAAACGAAAAGCTCCCCACAGGAGAATAGAGACGAGAGCTGCTCCCCACAGGAGAATAAAGTATTAATTGTTATTAATACATTTTATTTTCATTTTAAAAAATCTAAATTAAATAGGATCAAAGTTTACATAAAATATATTAATAACATGCATCTAATGTTATAATTCAGTTCTTAATTTTGGTTCTTCGGTTCCTTACGGTATGGAACAGTTCGGTTAAGTTCTCGGTACGGATATTTGTAAAATCTCCAGAACCGTAATAAATATTACTTCGGTTCATTTCATTTCGGTTCGGATAAAGTCAAATGGTCAACGATTATTTTCAATTCGGAACTATTTCAATTTAGTTTTCAGAACAGTTCGGAATTCTCTGAGTCTCATGTTCAGCCCTTACAAGTAAGATGAATATATTTTAATTACTAGTAATAAAGAAAAAATCCCAACATTAGGGAACACTTTTTTTTTATAATTACACTTGGGTAATTTGGAATCCATTATGTGTATGTCTTTTTTATCAATATCTAAATTGCACATGGGATGAGGATAATTATTTAGCAAAATTATATAGTAACTTATTAAATAACGCATTTTATAGCCAATTTATAATTAGGTCGGATTTTACTGATGAGAACAACAAACAAATCAAGGCACACGAGACCAAGACAAAAGAAATAACACCAATACGATAAACAAAATACAATATGTACAAAAACACAAACACCAAATAGCAAGAGAAATCGAAAACAAACAAATACACAAGAGAAACACACAAAATTAAGCAAGGATCACAAAAAGCAAGAGAAATACAAAAAAGACGTCAATCAATTGTCTAAATCCAATGGCCTACTCGCCTTCCCCGGCAACAACGCCATTTTGTTTGTAGTATTTTTGGACAATTGGTAACTGAGTTACCCGGACTCAGGTCGTTCTCAAAGGAAGGCTATTCGGACACGGATTCAAACAATGGTTAACTCACCCAAGAAAAGAAAATAAAAATCCTAAACACTCTACTCGCAATTTGGGGTTTGGATTAAACTAAGAACGCAATTTAAGCTAAGACGAAAGCAAGATTCAAACTTAATAGCAAGCAAGACCTCAAATTGCAAGAAAAGAGAAAATAAAGAGAAAAAGAA